AGAGTCCCAAGTCCAGGTTAGTCAGATGAACCAAGATTGGCAGATAGGCAGACAGACAGGCTCCCAGGACCAGCAGATAATAGGGCAAGCCACTGACTCCAAGGAACCAGAGGTTGGAGGACAAGCTAGATGCAAGATCTAGACCAAGCAGAGAGCCAACAAGTTTTGCCTGAGTGTTTACTACTTTGGAAGCAGGTCATACCTCTGAGGAAACATCCTTTCAATTGATTGGCTGCTTGTAGCCAATTAGCATAGTGTTAATTACCTTGTATAAGAGCTCATTAGGGGGATAACTACATCTTAACTGCCAGTCCACTGAGAATCTTGGCCCAGCCAAGTTGACACAAACCTTAACTATCACAGCAACAAACATATATAGTGCCGGAAGATGAGCCCCTCAAGTTGGAAGACACTCAAAATACGACTGGGTAAGAGCTGCCTCCTCAAAGATCGTCTCAAGCCTTCAGGATCTTCATTTGCTGATGGGGCACAACTCAAAATGAGGAGAGACAGCTGCAATAATCCATTAGTAATCCAAACATGAAGTGTATGAAGTATGAATCTAGGAAAATTGCAAGTTGTCAAAAATGCAATACAATGCACAAACATTGATATTTTAGGTATTAGTGAGTTGAAATGACTTTTTGAATCTGACAGTCATATGGTTTACTATGCTGGGAATGACAAATTGAAGAGAAATGGTGTCGTGTTCATCATCAAAAAGAACATTTCAAAATCTATCTATGCTGTCTGTGATAGGATAATATCCTTACGCCTACAAGGAAGGCCTTAGGTGTATGAAATAGATGGGAAACCTACTAAATATTTACTTGATTTGTACAAGACGAAGAATTCTAAGTCAAGTGAGTGGCACTCTAACTTGAATCGCCGGAGAAGAGAGTCACAGCCTCTCAATGAATAGCCAGACTTGCACGTTTCCAGACCCACAAATCCTTTCCCTTGAGGAAGGGCCACACTGCACCAACCACTAAAGCCATTGGTGATACAATTGAAGAATTCTACCAATTTCTTCAGTATGAAACTGGTCAAACATGCAATCAAGATATATTGATAATTATGGGTGATTGGAATGCAAAGGTTGGAAACAAAGAGGAGGAGGGCTCAGTAGTTGGAAAATACGGCCTTGGTGATAGAAACAATGTGGGAGATCACATGATAGAATTTTGCAAGATCAGTGACTTCTTCATTGCAAACACCTTTTTAAGCAACATAAAAGATGATTATACACATGGATTTCACTAGATGGAATGCACAGAAATCAAATTGACTATATCTGTGGAAAGAGATGGTGGAAAAGCTCCATATCATCAGGGCCAGGGCAGATTGTGGAGCAGTTCGTCAATTGCTCATATGCAAGTTCAGGCTGAAGCTGAAGAAAATTAAAACAAATCCACGATAGCCAAAATTGGCCCTGAACATATCCCACTGGAATTCAAAGATCATCTCAACAATAGACTTGATGTATTAGACTTTAATGACCAAAAACCAGAAGGGTTGTAGGATGACATCAAGAACATCATACAAGAAAGCAAAAGGTCATTAAGACGTCAGAGAAGAAAGAAAAGACCGAAATGGATGTCACAAGAGATTCTGAAACTTGCTTTTCGGCATAGACACGCTAAAGCCAATGGAAGAAATGAAGAACCGAATAGAAAATTTCTTAAGACAACTCAAGAAGACAGAGTTAAGTATTATAATGAAATGTGCAAAGACCTGAAGTTAGAAAACCAAAAGGGAAGAACACGCTCAGCATTTCTCAAGCTGAAAGAACTGAGGTAAAAATTCAAGGCTCGACTTGCAATTTTGAAGGATTCTTTGGGCAAAATATTGAACGATGCAGAAAGCATCAAAAGAAGATGGAAGGTATAGACCGAGTCTGTACCAAAAAGAAATTGTTGATGTGCAACTATTTCAAGAGGTAGCATATGATCAACCGCCAAGGATACTGAAGGAAGAGGTCCAATGTGCACTGAAGTCATTGACAAAGAGCAAAGCTCTGGGAACTGATGGAATTCAAATTGAAATCTTTCAACAAACTGATGTAGCACTGGAGGCACTCACTCATCTACAACGAGAAATTTGGAAGACAGTTACTTGGTCAACTGATTGGAAAAGATCCATACTTGTGACGATTCCAAAAAGAGGTGACCCAACAGAATGCAGAAATCATCGGAAAATATCATTAACATCATGTATATTTTTGCTAAAGATAATTTTTAAATGGCTGCAACAGTACATTGACAGGGAATTACCAGAGATTCAAGCCAGATTCAGAGGAGGACATAGAACGAGGGATATTATTGCCGACTTTATGTGGATCATGGCTGAAAGCAGAGAATACCAGAAAGATGTTTACCTGTGCTTTATTGACAATGTAAAAGCTTTCAACTGCGTGGATCATGACAAGCTATGGACAACACTTTGGAGAATGAGTATTCAAGAACACTTAATTGTGCTCATGAGGAGCCTGTACATAGACCAAGAGGCAGTTGTTCAAACAGAATGAGGGGACACTGGATGGTTTAAAATCAGGAAAGGTGTGTGCCAGGGTTGTATTATTTCACCAAAATTATTCAGTCTGTGTGCTGAGCAAATAATCTGAGAAGCTGGATTACATGAAAAAGAACATGGCGTCAGGATTGGAAGAAGACTCTTCAACAATCTTGAATATGCAGATGATAAAACCTTCCTTGTTGTAAGCAAAAAGGACTTAAAATACTTAACTTTGGTCTGGGTTGCACTTCAATGTAAAGAAAACAAAAATCCTCACCACTGAACCAGTAAATAACATCATGATAAATGGAGAAAAGATTGAAGTTGTCAAAGATTTGAGTTTGCTTGGATCCACAGTCAACACTCAGGGAAGCAGCAGTCAAGAAATCAAATGACGTGTTGAATTAGGCAAATCTGCTGCACAAGACCTCTTTAAAGTGTTAAAGAGTCAAGATGTCAGTTTGAGGACTAAGGTGCACCTGACCCAAGCCATGGTATTTTCAATAGCCTCATATGCATGTGAAAGCTGGACAGTGAATATGAAAGATTGTAGAAGAATTGATGCATTTGAGTTCTGGTGTTGAAGACTATTAAAGATACCATGGACTGCCAGAAGAACAAACAAATCTGTGTTGTAAGAAGTAAAACCAGAATGCTCCTTAAAAGCCAAGGCTAGACCCCGTCTCGTACTTTGGACATGTTATCAGGAGGGACCGTCCATGAAGAGTCAGTGAAAAAGAGGGAGACTCCCAACGAGATGGGTTACCAGCAGCTGCAACAATGGGCTCAAGCATTGCAGCAATTGTGAGGATGATGCAGAAGCAGCCAGCTTCATTCTGTTGTACACAGGGTCACTATGGGTCGGAACCGACTCAATGACACTTAATAAAACAACAAGCACATAAACCATCTGTCTAGGCCACCAGAAAGGCAAGAACTGGTACCACATTTCTGCCTGGGTAAATTTATTCTGTCTGAGCAGACAGCCCCCAGACATCTGGGCTTTGCAGCTCAAAAGGAGGGGGCAGGCAATGGGAAGAGGGAATTTGGGTTCAGAGGCTCTGTCCTGACTCGCCTAGCCTTGGCAATTCCGGATCAAAGCTTTGTGGTGCAAGCTCCTCGGTCCCTTTGACCACCATTCCCAAGCCCTCCACAGAGGCAGGTTCATCCAGGCCTAAGCCGGGCTCAGTCTGCAAGAGGAGGCAGCCTGTCCTTGCTCATGCAGCTAGCTGTCCCCATTGCAGCTAGTGACAGCTCCTTCCTTCCAGGTGCTCAGGCCAAAATACCTGAGTCATTTCAACTCATTTCTCCAAATCCTATTGATGCAACTTGCAGACTGTTTAGAATCCAAACTCCTTCCATCTGGACCCAACATGGTCACCTCTCCCTTGCATGACCTCAGCAGCCCCTTCCGTGGTCTCCTGCTGCTGTCCTCACTCCTTCAAAGCATTAGAGACCAGAACCAAATCTCCCCAACCAAACCCATTGTTTCTGAATTGATTCTGACTTATAGCAACCCTATTTGTTGTTGCTGTTGTTAAGTGCCATCGAGTCGGTTCTGACCCATAGCGACCCTGTATAGAGTTTCCGAGGAGCAGCTGGTGAGCTTGAACCTCGTACCTTGCAGTTCAAACAGCTTTGTAGTTTGGCGCATTAGCCCACAGAGCCACACCAGCAACCCTAAAGAGCTGCCCAATAGGGTTTCCAAGGCTGTAAATCTTTACAGAAACAAATTGCCTCATCTCTCTCCTGCAGAGCAGCTTATGGGTTTGAACCACTGACCTTCTGTTTAACAGTCAAGGGCTTAACCACTGCATTCCTCAGGACAGATTCTTGTTAAGAAGTTATGTCTAGTTTTGCCCCACCTCTACTCAAAACCTTTCAGTGGCTTCCAACTCAGAGTGAAAGTCCTCTAATTGGCCCACTCTGCTCTCTGATCCCACCTCCACTACCCATTGGCTTGTTCTCCATCCCTGAGTGAGACACGTCAACAGTCACAGTGACATGTTGGCTGGCAGTTTTTGCTTTTATTGGTCAAGAACTCTTTACAAAACTCACACATACACATATCCACACATACACACACAAGATGCCTGCTTTGCTCTGGTGGCTCCTTGCCCTGGTCTCTCCGGGATCTTCCAGTGGAAACAGGTCCGTGTCCCACCTATGAGGGAGCAGGTGTGAGTAACAGGTAAACAGCATCATCCTCTTCCTTCCTCCAAGCTCCCAGCTGCAAAAGTCTGGGGGTCTTCTGTTTGAACTCCACTATGTCCCTGATTTGTAAGCCTGGAAGATGGAGGTCAGGGAGAGGATATGAGTGGTCCAAGGTTCCCATATGGAACAGGGAGCAGAATTCAGTCCTCTCCTGCACTGTGTTCCCAGCAGGTGATGGACAACCTAGGGCTTGGGCATCAGTGGGGGTGCCCGGAAGTTGTCCCGGGAGCCCACACCCAGGGACAGTTGGTGGATGAAAGGCATGGCCAACATTATAGAGGTTTGCCCAGGGTGCCCTCTGTGACTGCCCGTGTGGCTTGCTCAGGTATACAGTCGGGGTCTGTAAGGATACAGGTAGACGTGCTTAGCTGGCGTAGAGAGTTCAGGACAGCTGCGGGAGGGGAGGGAGAGAGAGAGATTAATTCACCTTGTGGGGAAGGGTTCTACTCTCCCTGGAGGCTGGAAACAAAGGATTGGGGGAGGTACAAGTTGGCCAGCTTGTCAGCCTCCCCCAGGACCTCTGTCTGTAGCTGTGCTGGTGGCCACAGTACCATCCGTAGGGAATGATGGGGTGGCCCAACCCTAGGCTCTGCTGGAGGTAGGCTGGAGCTGGGATCTGAGCAGGGTGCCTCCAGGGACAGGTGGCAGCTCACGTACTTGGCCGGAGGACAGGCAGAGAACAGTATTGGTCCAGCCAGGAGAGCGAGGTCTGGCGGAGGCTCTGCAGGCTTGCCGTGGACACCATCCCGTTGAAGGATTCAAACAGAGGCCGGATGAGGATGCTGAACTGGGCCCGTGTTAAGGAGCAAGTCTTCTGTTATCCAGAGGCCCACCCACTCACATGTCACCCTAATGCCGGTCCCAACCTGTGGCCCTTCTCCTGTGTTGGACGGTCCCCCATCTTGACTGAGAAAGTGAGATTCCCTGTCTTCTTCAGGGCATCTCATCCCACTCAAGAGTCTGGATCTCCTGTGGATCGGGCTGAAGCATCCTCAGTTTTTTCTCTGTTCCCAGCCATGTACTGGGCAGGCCTACTGGCTAAGATGCCCAGGATGGGGCAGAATCGCAGACCCTTTGCCTGGGGAGCAGCCTCAGATCCTGTTGCCCTCAAGCCCCCCACCTCCAGGCCCCAGGTCTGAGCGAGGATACCACCCAGAACTTCCAATTATGCAGCGTTCGGGTCTTGACGTACTCATCGAACATGTCACGCATCTGGTCAAAGCGCTGGTGTGTGATGGGAACCCCGGTGGCGGGCAGCTGCTGCTGGCAGAGGCTGGGGGCGTGGGTGGGTCAGGAGCTGGAGCCCAGGGGCATGCCACCCCTTGCCCAGTGCACACACCCCGAGCCTACTTAATGTCTGCGTTGAGTGCCTCGATCTGGTCCCGCAGCAATTGCGCCTCCTCCTGTAAGGTGGCCCGTTCTTGCTGCAGCATGGAAATGTACTCAGCCGTCTTCTGAAGTGTGGTTGCTTTGCTCACCTGTGGGAACCAGCATGAGGCTCAGGTGCTGAGACCACCCCATAGGGGCTCTGGGGGTGCCATCCTGGACTCGGGGCTCACCTTGAGGCTGGGCTGGGCACTGAGCGTGCTCACCAGCCCATGCAGAGTGTCAAACCCTAGCTTGATATTGAAGCGGCGTTTCTGCTCTGCGGAGATGTGTGTGATACGCCGGTTCTCTGTCTTGGGGGAGATAGTGGGGTGAGTCCAGGATGAGCCTGGGAAGTCTGGGGTGTTGCAAATGGGTCTCAGCAGTGGACAGGGCATTGGTGCCCACCTTGTTGTTATCTGGACGCCCCTGGCTTAGGATGTGTTGAGTAGGGGAGACGCAGATGCTCAGAGTTCCCGGACCTGGGACCAAGCTGAGTTCTCCTGACAGTCTCCGCTCACTGCCTGGGGCAGGGACAGACAGACCAACAGATAGCCCAGCATAGGAGGGAGGGTGCCATCTCATCCTGTCTTTCTCATCGTGACCCCAGACACAGTCCCTCCTCCTTCCTTCTTCTCCCTTTACCCTCGAGAGTCCCCTAAACCCCTGCTACAGCCCCTCTTTACCGCTGGGCGCTGGGGGTGAGAGCCGCTCCGCTTTGGGGACAATCAAGGGCCTTGGACGGGCCAGTGTGGCTGGAACTGGAGGTGGCCGGGGCAGTGATGGGGTCAGGGTTGGGGGAAAGAAGGTGCAGGGGAATTCAGGGACGGTCTCCTGATGGTATAGAGAAGGGTGAAGAGTTGGGGTGAAGGCCCTGGGCTCACCCCCACTTCCCAGTGCCTGCCATCTTACCGGGGACTTTGGGGGCAGGAAGAGGGTATTGGACACCAGTGGTGGTTCCAGAGCTTGCTCAGGCTTGTCTGTGGACACGTAGAATGGTGAAGGCTGTGGGGCTGACCCCAAGCCCACAGTCCCTAAGAGCCGTCCCTCGCTTCCACCTGGTACTCAACCTGTGCCCCTACTTCCTCTGCTTCCTGGTGCCCACCCCTTACCTCTGTGGTCTCACAGGCTCCCCACTTGTGTGGTCCACCCTCTCACCTGCAGTCAGCAACTGTGTGAGGCAGGGGTTGGTGCCTCCGGGAGCAGCAATGACCGTGGGGCTAGGAGTGGCCTGGGCCAAGGTGGTAGGTTTGGGCTTTCGACCTTTAGGGCATGGGGTGGGGGACCTGTCTCTGGGCCGAATGCCCCGGGGTGGCGTTGCAAAACGAGGCCCAAATGCAGGCTCCGGGTACAGAGAGGGCAAAAGGTCTAGAGGGAAGGCGGCTGACGTGGGGCGGGAGCCAGGCTGTGGGCTGGGTGGGAACGCTGTGGGAGCAGGAAGCTGGGACACTCCGGTGACAGGAGGGGCAACAGAGAATGGGAACCTGGGAGAAAACAGTGACTCATCTGGAAGCAAAGAAGGCGGTGGAGCCATGGAAGGGAAGAGGGGTGGGGGGCGGGGCTCCGGGCCTAGCACCTTGGTTGGGTTAGAGTAGTGGAGGGGAGAAGGGGAGGTGGTAGAGTGTGGGTGCTTGGGCTTGTGATCTTCAGGAAGGAAGAAGTCGTTGTTCAGGTAGGCAGTGGAGTCCAAGGGGCCAAGGCAACTGTTTTGAGTCTAGTTGGGGGCAAAGGGGGAACACATAGACAGGTAGTCAGAGAGCAAGAAAGCAAGCTGGCCCTTGTAGGTACTCAGACATCCTCCTGCCCTGGCTGAGCTCTGGACTGGGCACTGAGGAGAGATAAGAAAAATGACTCTTCCCCAACACAAACACATACCAGGAGCAAAACACATTTAGGCACAAATTGGGCATGAGAAAGAGTGACCAGCTTTCATATGCTCTTCCATTATCCATCAACCCATCCATCCATCCTCCATCCTCCATTCATGTGTCTATATTTTCCCTGATCTCTGAACTAGCTCATCTACTTGTTTCTTCTTCACCAGTACACCGGTTTATCCAATCACCTATCCTTTCTTTTTTCCTCCCTCTACCCATTCATGTTGGTGTTGTTATGTGCCATCAAGTCAATTTTTAACTCAGAGTGATGCCATGTGACAGAGAAGAATTGCCCAATTGGGTTTTCTAGGCTGTCATCTTTATTATAGTTTAGAAATGAGGCTGGTGAGACTTCAGTGCATGTATTTTGGACATGTTGTCAGGAGGGACTAGTTCCTGGAGAAGGATATCATGCTTGGTAAAAGAAATAGACCTTCAACAAGATGGACTGACAACAGTGTGACTACAAGAATAGATTTAAACACTTGTGAGGCTCTTGTATACACTATGAGATGGAACTTACTGATGGTTTCTAGCAAAATCACAATTTTTATGGAAGCAGATCAGCAAGGCATTACCCCTCTCCCCCCTCCCCCCCCCACCGTCCTGGAGCTGTTGAGTGAGTTTGAACCACCAAGCTTTACATTAGCAGCTGAGTGCTTAAACGTTGTGCCACCAAGACTCCTTACCTATCATCATCCATCTGTCCACCATCCACACACTTACCAGCTCAAATCATAGATCTACCAATCACCTGCCACCGGGAGATCTACCCACCTCCACCTATAACCCAGGTATCCATTTACCAATGTTGTTGTTGTTGTTGTTGTTAAGTGCCGTCGAGTCGGTTCCGACCCATAGCGACCCTGTACAGGGTTTCCGAGGGTGTAAATCTTTACGGGAGTAGAAAGCCTCATCTTTCTCCCGCGGAGCTGCTGGTAGTTTCGAACCGCTGATCTTAAGGTTTGCAGCCCGATTCGTAACCACTACGCTACCAGAGCTCCACCTATCCAAGTGTCTACTCACTTGCTCCCTTACTGGTCAACCATTTACCAAGTGACAAATATATGCCAGACTGTGCCAAGTGTAGGGGGAACAATGATGAGCTAGCTGCTCTTCCAGCCAGAAGCTCAGAGCCCACTGAGGGAATCAGTGCCCAGCCGGCAGCAGGGAGGCGTCAGCTGAATTGGGCTGAGAGTTCTGGAGTCCCAGTGGAAAACTCACTGTTTCCTAACCATTCCAGGCCAGCTCCTTCCTCCATGCTTTCGTTTGAGTGGTCCCTCCTGTCTGGTTTGCCCTTTGTTAGCCTCTTCTTCTGTTCAAACCCAACCACTCACCAAGGTCCTCCTCCTCCTCCTCCAGGAAGTCAGGGCTTTACCTTCCTTCTCACTCCCACACCCACTGTTCCCAGTCCTGCTCCATCAGACCGAGATGGGGGTCTCTGCCCCCTTCTGAACATGGAGGGCATAGTGCTCTGGTGAGCTGGGCAGACTTGGTAGAGGGATAAGCTCACCTGCAGGCGGGTGCCTGAGAGGTGGGCCAGGCCCGGCAGGGAAGTGGGAGGCACCTCCGGGCTCAGGACCCCGCTGCTGAAGAGGGAGTCGGCCATGGGGTTCACGCCCAGGAGCTCTGGGAAATTTGTAGGTATGGGTGTCTGTGGAGGGCGGTAATTGCTGAAGAAATCTGTAATTCAGACATGGAGCGGGGGGCCACAGTTAAGGCTAAGCAGGGACTGCCAAATAGTGGGAAGGAGGAGGGTAGTCTGGCACCCTCTCCCCAGGCTGTCCCGGTGGTGGGGTGGGGGCCCACAAACTGGGGTGGGGGTGGGGTGGGTGGCCTCCACAGGAGATTGTGAAACTGGAAGTTTCATTCTCACTCAGGGGAAGCAGCAAAGTCCTGGGCGGGAGACAGAGGGGACATGGGGCGCGAGGGACCCCAGGAAGCAGCCCTCCGGTGGCCCCCTTCTCACTCCCTTGCCTGCTCTCCTCATCAGCTCTGTTGGGGGGGTTCTGGAAAGGGAGGAAGGGGGACCACAGAGAGAGACTGCCAGGGAGGGAGCAGGGTGCATCCAAGGGGAGGAGGTCTGGGATGGGGAAGGCTCTGGGGTTGACAGGAGTTCAAGGGGTGAGTTTGAGATCAGAGGGATCAAGAGGTCAGTGGATCTAGACAAAGTGGGTTTGTTGGAAAGTCAATGGGTAGAGTCATAGGTAGGCCTAGGAGCAGAGAGAAGGGTCTAATGAGGTCAGAGGGTGGGCTTGTGGTGGGGTCAGGAGTGAGATGCTGCTGGTAACCTTGGAAGCATGGGTGAGGAGGTGGGCAGCCAGATTGTTTGGGGTGCGGGTTGTGTAAGACCTGGGCTATTCTGGTTTTGGGAAGCAGCTGCCTGTGGCTTAACCACATCCCGGACTGGGGTGCCACCCACCCACCCGCTCCCTTCCGGGCACCTTTCTCTGACCCTGACCAGCTTTCAGGCCATACCAGTTCCCAAGGTTGGCCGATCTGGTCAGACCTGAGCCTACCTTGGCAGCCCCCTGGAGGTCCCAGCTCCTTCCCTGGTCAGGAGACCCAGAAGTGGGTTAGAAAGGACCACCCCCAACCTAGAACCCAACAGGGGTACGCTTGGGTCTTGGCTCATGTGACAGCTTTGCCTAGGTGTTGCCAAGTAGTTGAATCTGCATCAGCGTGTGGTCTGTCCCTATAGGCACAGCTCTCTCAGAGGAGACGAAACTGTCCTGATGGGATATCCTTGTCTTTGCCTGTCTGCTCTGAGCCAATACTGTCATGTGTGAGTTTGTGCACACATATGCACATGTATCTCCTAGGCCACCTGTCCTCCTGCCTCCCTTTGATAGAGGAGCTGAGTGAATGATCACTAATCTTCCAGCCCCTCTTCCAGGGACCACGGCCCTCGGCACTAGAACCCCGAGGCTTGGGTTCTAGAACCAGTGCCATACTTGGGTCTGGCCTGGCTGAGGGCCACACAGTGACTCCCTGCCTACCACTGCTGTCCACTGCCCTGGGGCTGGGGCAAGTCTTAGATTAGCCAGCTACCTTGCTAACCTTACTGCCCACTGCCCATGCTTGCCCCCATCCCAGCAGCTACTGCAGTGAGGAGATACCAATACCCGGCAGTAGATACCTGCTGAACCTGCTCCCCCTAATGACCCCCCTCTGAGCCCCTCCCTCCACACTCCTGGTTCCCCACCTTCCCGAGAGGCGGGGAAACCTATCAGGGTCCTGTCAGGTGTGGCCTGAGTAGGGTGTTCCCTATTCTCCCAGCATACTTAGCTCTTGAGAGGGCCACACTGACCATACTCCCATATCCCCCCTTACCATGGCTCGCCCATGCTTGTTCCCATCCCAGTAGCCACCCTTGAGAGAGAGATTTCGCTTCCTAGCCCTAGTAGGGTCCTAGTCCCACCCAGAGCCTGGGGTGGGGCCAGCTGGGTTCCTACCTGTGGCAGGGGTCTGCGTGCTCAGGCGGGGGGCCTGCCTACCAAACTGGTCTGCTCTCAGGGCACTGCCATCCACACTTCTGCCCCCACAGCCCCTACCACCGCCCAGGGTTGGGGGTGGTTCCTCATTCCCTAGTCCCGCCCCATAGGCCTCCATCTCTTGATAGACATGCCCAAAACCCAGGCCAGAGGAGCAGAGAGCTTATTAAGTCCTTTACCCTAGGGACTCTCTTTCTGCTTCTAGGGGGCACTTGGCTCATGCAGATTGAGTGCTGAAGTTCACCTGGCCCCCCAGATGTAGAAATGTGGGGGCAGTCTCCAAGAATGGCAGGTTAAGTGGGGAGGAATCTGTTGTAAAAATAACACAGGGATGAGTGTTGCTGGGGTGCATACGGGGAGTCTTTGAGGGGATGAGTGGGGAGGGGGAGTCTTTGAGGGGATGAGTGGGGAGAGGGAGATCGGAAACCAATTACTTAAAAAGATGCCTGGGATTTACTGCGGAAAAACAAGGATGAAGTCTGCGGGAGACAAGACTGGCAGATCAGTGCTAAAGTCGGTGATGATTGCATGGGACTCTCTCAGTTTGGGTACAGGCTGGGAATTTTCTTGAACAAATCGTTGGAAAATGCACTAAGTAAATCATAAATCAACCCAAACAAATTCAAATCTCTCCTTCCCCTACGAGTCCCAGTATCCGAGACTTTCATTTGTGAAAGCCCCAAAGCTGGGAGAATTTGCCAGTAGCTTCAGAGTGCCAGGTAGCCTATTTTCACCTGAGCCCACACCAGCCACATCCCAAAGCCCTGGGACATCCTCCCTCACCCCATTCCCAGGAGGGGCCTGCCACACCTGAGATCTCCATGAAGTCGTCCAGGCTGGGGTGCAGGGGCGCCAGGTCTGGCTGGATCATGTCAGCGTTGCCAACGTAAGCTGTGGAGACAGGGGTGGTACTACCCGTCCCCATTCCTGGCTGTCCTCCGTTGGCTGCCTGGATTCTCCCAGACCTTACCCCTGACCGACCCCACACCCGCCCTCAGCCCACTTCCTGGGCGCAGGCCCTCACCATCCTCTGGGGGCAGCTGCAGGGGTGTGGGGTTGGGCTGAGTCATGGTGAAGAGGGTATCAGAAATGTCCGACAAGAAGCAATCGAGGTCCAGGAGCTGCCGCCCTCCGGGTTCCTCCTCCGGGTCCCTCAGCAGGACGGGTACCACGCTGGAGAAGAGCTGATTGCACCATAGCTCCGAAGGCTGCCATGCCCCCTGGGCCTAGGGAGACCGAGTGGTTAGCTCGGAAGAGTTTCTCTGCCCCTCACCTCCTCTCTGCCCACAGCCCCGCCTCATCTCACCCTGGTGGACTCTTCCTGCAGCCTAAAAGGCTAGGGCCACCCAGTCGTCCTCTAAAAAGTCCCCCCAGGATGGCCTACTGAAATGCTAAGGATCCCCTTCCTGCTCTCTGTCCCTTTTCCTATCTCGGACCTCCTGCTCCCCCATGCCTCAACACCTGCTCAGTCAACCAGAAGGCCGGGGTCTCCCTCCTGCAACATACTCCAGAGGGACAGCAGCCTCTTCCATTTCCCTCTTAGCCCACCCACACTCTGGACCACTGCCCAGCCCACTCAGCGGACCTTGATTCTGGCTGCCTGGGAAACACCCACCTGTTTAGTGGACAGGAGATCACCTTCCCTGCTGGACTTACGGAGCTGCAGGGACACACAGTTTGCTACGGTCTCCGGATGCCGTTCCCCGTCTTCTACCATTCCCCAGAAGACCTCCCCGACTCAAGCTCCCACCCAGGTCCATGGGATCCCTTATTTCCCCTCGGAGCACCCTCCCAGGTACGAAGGCTGCGGAGAGACTCTGTGGCCACACGGTGGCGCTGTCGACCGGGGCTTCCAAGAGCGGCGACGGCTCACAGCGGAAGGGGAAAGGTCTGGGGTCTCCCCTGGGCCCCCACTGACCCGCTTCTTGTAGTAGATGCGCCACTTGTGGTACTCGCGCATCACCACCTCGATGCGCCGCTTCCAGTAATTGCCCTCCAGGATGACGGCCTGGGGAGTGTTAGGAAGGGGCTTCAGTTTGAGGGATGGCACTGTCCCCCATTCTCAGCCCTCACCCAATCCCCATCTGGGTCAGCCCCACCCGCCGGGCTTGGTGGGTAAGCAGGTGGGTTAGTGGTCCAGAGGCTCAGCTACCTCTGGTTTCCGGTGTTCATCAGCCTCAGGCCCCTGCAGGGGTGTCACGAAGCCACACACGGGGCTCTTTCTCCGCTCCACATCTAAGGGAAGGGGAGCCTGGTCAGGGGCGCCCAGCTCTCAGGGACTCAAGTGACACATTACAAAATTCGACCTGGCCTTTATTGCAGGGGTCACTACCATTCCCTAGTTCTCCCCCACCCCCCACACACACCCATGAAGCTTCTCCCAAACCAGTCCATACAAAAACCTTAGTATTGCCTATTTTCAATTTTAATTATGGAATTGTTTGCCGTCGAGTCGGTTCCGATCCATAGAGACTCAGTGTATGTAGGGTTTCGGAGGAGCAACTGGTCAGCTTGAACCGGCGACTTTGTGGTTCAAAAGACCTTGCAGTCCAGCACATTAATCTACAGCGCCAGACCAGGACTCCTTAATTACGGAATAATATGTAATAAATAGAGTTGTAAATTGCTTAAATGTAGATAATATTTCTTAGATTATATGAAGATTAACAAAATTGTTATATAAAATCTCTCTACATTGAATTACAACATTATTACTTACGATATTATTAGTAACTGAGTGTGCTGAAGAAACCACGTGATTCGAATATCATTATAATTGGATAATAATGACAACTCTGACCGAGCGCTTTGTTGATGTTGCTAACTACCATCAGGTCTGTTCCTACTCATTTTGGTAAGTGCCATTGAATCGGTTTCGACTCATAGCGACCCTTTATAGGGTTTCCACGGAGCGTCGGATGGGTTCGAACTTCCAACCTTGCCATTAATAGTCCAATGATTAACCTACAGTGCCACACCATCGTTGTTAAGAGCTGTCGGGTGGATTCCCACTCATAGTGACCCTGAATAGGATTTCCAAGGAGTGGCTGGTGGGTTTGAACCACCAACCTTACCGTTAGCAGTCCAATGCTGATTTTACAGTACCACACCAAGACTCTGGTAGCATAGTGGTTACGAATTGGGCTGCGAACCTCAAGGTCAGCAGTTCAAAACTACCTGTTACGTGGGAGAAAGATGAGGCGTTCTGCTCCCGTAAAGATTTACAGCCTCGGAAACCCTGTACAGGGTCACCGTGAGTCAGAATCCACTCCACGGTACTGGATGCTGTAAGCTAGGCTTATAAAAAATGTTTTTGTTGTTATAACTAACTACAAGGATATTTTAATAAAGAATAATCAATTAATGTTGAAACATAAAAATGCAAAAAACCCAAGAAGTTTAGTCATTTTGGTGTGACTCAGTGTGGTCAGCACCCCATGCTCCTATAGTGACACTGTAGCTTCATTGCCCAGGTTAAGTGCTACCTCCTCTAGGAAGCCTTCCGCCATACTCTAGCCCTTTCACATTACCCTCATCTGTACAGACTGCAAAGGCAATCTCCCAGCGGCCTGTGCCTTGGGAGCCTAGTAGGTCCACAGGCAAAACTTGCTGGATGGCATTGTGGGACTGAGACTGAGCAGCTCCAAGAAAGGAGAGGATCAGACTGGCAGACCAAAGAGCCAGGATCTTTGGTCCTCAGTCTCGGGTTCCACCACACTGCCTGCCTCCCATCTCAGAGAACCACCTTTGTCCCCAGGCCAGGCCACCTATCTGAGCCCTCATTCCCCTCCCTCCATGTCTCTTCTCAGTCTTCTATCCTGACCCTCTGACCCATAAACACATTCCAGACTCTTCCTTATCTCCCAAACCTTTCCCTTCCCTTTGCTATCCCAACACGCTTAAGCCTCTCCCCTCTCTCCACTCTCTTTCTTTCCCACCAAACTCTGAAAGATCTGTCCACGCTTGTCACTACCACTTCCTCCCCTCCCTGTCTCATCGGTACCCCTACAACTCAGCATCTGCCCCCCCCCCCCATCCCTGAACTCAAGTTCCTTCTTCAGACACACCCTCTCAAACCTCACTTGTAACACCCACCCACCTCTGACCAAGGCCCCAGAAATGTCCCCTCTATTCTGACTCCTGGCCATTTTGCAAGGCGCTCTACAAGGGTCATCCCAAATCTTTCTCATCCTACCTCTTTCCAGCTCCACACTCCCTCCCCAGCTGCTTGGGATGTCCCAAAGTTTGTCACACTGAGGAAGTTTGGGAACTCCCCTCCTGGCCCATGCCAGCCCTGGTACCAACTCTGATACCAATGTTACCTTCCTGCCACCAAACTTCCCATCATTCCCCACGTTCCTAGTCTAATGCACACACCCACAATCCCAATCCCACAGGGCCAGTGACAATGCTTCAGCAACATCCTCTCTGTCACCTAGCGTCACTTCTCACCTGGGCCTTCCTGCCTCCAGTCTGACATTCGCCAGCCCACCTTCCTGCTGTGGTCAGGTCAGTTCTTCCGGAAGCACAGTTCAGATCCAAACCTGCTCCCTCCCCCATGGCTCCCCATAACCTTCAGGATAAAGTCTGGATGCCCTAGCTTGTGGCTTTCAAGCCCCTTTACCTGGTTTTCATCTGCTCCTCCCATCTTCCCACCCCCTTTATGTGTCCCACCTTGAAGGCAGACTGAGCCATCCTCTGGACTGGTACATGGAACGCCTGCCTTTTCTTCATCTATCTTGTCCATACCTACCCACCCTTCAAGACTACACCTCCTCCAGGAAGCCCTCCTGCCCACTCCCCATGGCCCTGTCTGCCCACCTTGCATCATCTAATTCTTCTCACTGAGAGGGAAGCAGAAGCTATATACCCTCTCATTTCACATCTCTGCACCTGGCTTGGAGCTCACCTCACAGCAGACCTTCAGCAAAGGCCTGAGTCCCACACAGAGGGATTTTCCTGCCAGCCCTGACCAAGAGAAGGCATGCAGACCCTTTACAGTGTCCATGTGGGCCTGTTCTGCCTCCAAACTTCCTCTGGGACAAATGAGAACATGACAAATGAGAAAGTGACCTTTCAGCATCATTTAAAAAGGACCGTTCCCAAAACAGATAGCTATGGGATTAGAGGAAAGGATTTGTCCCCGTCGTTTAGCCAGAAAACAAGGGAGAGAGGCCCTTAGGTGCTTGGACTCCTTAGGGGCGTTAGAGCAGGGAGGGTCTCTGAGAATATCTGTCCCTGTACTCCCCGATGACTCAATGTGTCCTCCATCCAGGAACATTAGAGAGTCAGGGCTGAGCGGGTCCAGCTTAGTGTTCCCTTCCTCCCTCCAGGGATCCTGGTCTCTGGACAGAAGGGCAATGGCCATGTGGTTTCCTGAATTGTAGCAGGCTTTTTATAATCCATTCATTCAGCCACCTAACCCTTAGCAGCTATGCTGGGACGGCCTGCTCAGATGAATCTCGGCGCTCACAGCTTAGGCTGAGAGATAAGCAAAACACACAGATAGCATAAGATAATGCAAGGCAGGCGAAGTCCTCACCCCAAGAGAGGTACAAAATGCTTGGGAAGCTCCAAGGAGACTGAGAAGATATGGGGATGTGGATAGACCAAGAAAGGAAGAGGTCTTGGAGGCTGGCAGCCTGCAGAGATGCGGCAGGACCATTTCAGGTTGTGTCTAAAGCCAAACACTCTGGGAGGGAGATAAGTCAGTCAGCCCTGCAGGTTAGCACAACACTAGTAGAACTTGCAAGGAGCTCTGATAGCGTAGTGGTTATGAATTGGGCTGCTAACCTCAAGGTCAGCCGTTCGAAACTACCAGCTGTTCTGCAGGAGAAAGATGAGGCTTTCTGCTCCCATAAAGATTTACAGCCTTGGAAACCCTGTACAGGGTCGCTATGAGTCAGAACCGACTCCTCGGCACATAACAACAAAGTAGAACTCGCCTTTCCACAGGGCTGCTTTGGAATCTTTGGTGCTCAGAGACGGGGAAGGGGTCCCCATGCTACCGTTATCACCATCATAATCCTAAATCCTACCCATGAACCCTCCAGAAACCCTTCCATGCGCCAGGTCTGTCTTCAGATATAAATGAGAAACTCACAGCTAACCTCAGCAATGGGACCTTTACAGATAAAGTTCCACTTTACAGATAAACAAGCTGTGGCTCTGGGAGACGGAGGACTTTCCCAAGGTCCCACAGCTAGGGAATGCTACTGCTGGACTCAAACCCAGCTCTGTCTCTGAACCTGGGGTCCTGCCAGCAACTGGTGCAATAGTTGGGCTGAGTGAGGACTCTGGGAGGCATCATCGTATCAAGCCTCAGCTGTTCTCAGAAATTTCTCCTGCAGAGCGAAGGCTGTATGTTCTGTCAGACTTGGGAGAAGAGGGTAAAAGCTGAAACTTCAGGGGAACCCTGACTCCCCCTGGCTTGCTTTCTGGCCAGTGCCCATCCGGAAACTTTTCAGAAATGGCAGAGAATTTGCTAATGTGAGGGGGGAATCCTCACCCACAGCTCTGCCAGGAGAGCAGCATTCTTAGGTGAGGACTGAAAGTTAGCCCGCTGGCGGCAGCACATAGAGCACTGACTTTGGAGCTGGAGAGCCCTGGACTTCCAGGCCCACCCAGCTCTGTTCCTTTTCACGCTCTCTAACCGTCATAGTGGTTACGAATCGGGCTGCGAACCTTAAGGTAACCAGTTCGAAACTACCAGCCACTTCGCGGGAGAAAGATGAGGCTTTCTACTCCCGTAAGGATTTACACCCTCGGAAACCCTGTACAGGGTCGCTATGGGTCGGAACCGACTCGAAGGCATTTAACAACAACACAACCGTGAACAAGCCACTTGCCTTGTGGGCCTCAGTCGCTCATCCATAAAATGGGGGTAATAATACTCAGGATTGCTAGGAAATCTTAAAAAAACAACAAAAAAAAGATGATCTATGAACGCTCCGGGCCTACAGATAAGCAGCACAACATCCCCCTCTCTGCTTGGATAGAGTCCAGTGGGACAAGTACAGAGAATACTGCGTGGGCTGTGTGTTCCTGCCTAGGCACAGCCTTTGACCCTGCTGCAGAAACCAACTGAGCTGGACAAGGTCCCAACACAGAAACTTCTGCTGCCCTGCCATGGGGGAGGGGGGTGGCTCTTGTTTCCTCAAATGACGACGACCTTCTCCAAGGCAGATCAAATTGAACAATCATTTCTTGAGCGCACATTATGTACGAGGCCTTTTCATACACATTACTCTCATTCAGCTTTATAAGGTAGGCCGCTGGTCTTATGTTATAGGTTTAGAGAGGTTAGACAACTTGTTTGGAGCCGCCCAGCCGGCAAGGGGCAGAGGCAGGGTACGAAACCATCTCTGGGTGACTCTAACTAAGACCAGAGTCCTTTCCTGCCCACCTCTAGTACCACATGGCTTCTTGGGGGCCCTCTTTCCCCAGATGTCTGCAGCTGGACACCTGCTGAGCATTCAGTGAGGGCTGAACACAAAGCTGATAGAGGCCCATGAAAGATTCTCTGTCCCCAATTTGTAAAAAGATGCGATGGGCCCAGGTTGTATCTGAAGCTCTTTTCCACCCTGGCATTTGAGGCACCTGACCACACTAAGAGGCTAAGGACTGGGTATTGGGCTAAGCCCACCTCAGAGCTTTGAGGGGTGAACTGTGCTGGCCAGCTTCACAGCGGAATTACCTACAATTCCTGAAACCCTCTAGAGGTCAGGAGTTGCTCCTAGTGTTGGGGACCTGGTCTCCCCACATGGTCCACAGCCAGCATCCAGGGAGTGTTTCTAGGCAGCCCCCGTGTAGTGCCCTCTGCCTGCCTTGAGAGACCCATCATGCCCACTCACACTGGATATACCAGGCCCTCCAGATGGCATTGTTGAGGCGGATCTTGTCTCGGCAGAGCAGCTTGAGGCCTTTGAAATTCTTCCACTTTGGAGAGACCAGCTTGCCACTGTTGAGGGAGAGGGCTGGGTCAGGTGGTAATGGGGAAATAAGAAGGCATAGGGGCTGGCCCCACCCTCTTTACATCATTATTTGTTGTTGTTGTGAAGTGCCATCGAGTCGGTTCTGACCCATAGTGACCCTGTACAGAATTTCCAAGGAGCAGCCCGGAAGCTTGAACCGCCGACCTTGCAGATTAAAAGGCTTTGCAGTGTGGTGCATTAACCCACAGCGTCACACCAGGCCTAATCTATTAACCCCACACATCACTACAGGGGTTAGGCATTTTGAGGCCCACTCCCAAATCTTGCCCATCCCCATAACGTCCCTGAAAGTCCTAGCTTGAGAGGCAGACCTTTACAATACTCTCCCAGCTTCCCACTTGAAAGACCTGTTCGTTAATTAACTACCAGGACTTGAGCCAGGGCTGAACCTGTTTATCAGCTCACTCCTTGGAACAACAGTGCCTAATAGCCTCTCTACTGTGTTGGTCTCCTAGGCTGACCTAGCAGAGTTTTTAGCCCACTTCTTACTTAAGGAAACTGAGAGTCAGGAAGAGAGGGGGACCTGCCCAGGATCACATGGCTTTTTAGGTCCCTTAGGTCCAGGGCCCCCCGGAGAATGAGTGGAAAGGGGGTCTCTTCCTCACTGTCCTTCTGCCGCTGGCCCCATCCATTGTCCCAGGGGGGCAATCTGTAGGGTGAGCTGGAAGGTGGACCCCTTCCCAGGGGTGTACACAAAACAAGGAGGCCTCAGGGCCACAGGAAGGCAGTTCACCATAGATCTAGCCATCAAGCAGCTGGGTTCTACTCAAGACCAAGTCATCCCCCCCAGGAAGCTGGCCCACGAGACCAAGAAGCTCAGGAACCCAGAACACTGCTGGTCCTTCCCTCTGTTGTTGCTAAGTGCTGTGGAGTCACATCGACCCTGGATGGGGTTTCCAAGGAGCGGCTGGTGAGCTTGAACCGCTGATGTTGCAGTTCAAACTGACCTTGCCGTCCAGCGCATTAGCCCACAGCACCAGGCTATATCCAAGTCCCCTCCAGCCCAAAGTCTCCAGCCCTTATTCAGATGGGAAACCTGAGGCCCTAAGCCAGATTTGCTCTCTCAGTGGGAGGTGGGAGACTCTGGGGGGTGGGCTGGACTTGACTCCTCTCCCTATAGCCCCTTGGGTATATGGGCCACTGGGTCCCATATCCTCTCTGGTCTCCAAGCTTCCATGTTTGCTTTGGGAAAGGGGAGAGGGGGGACAGTAGGCCTCATTACCCAAATAGAGCACAGTGCTCAGCACCCTGGCCAATGGCTGGCCCCTTCATTCCTGGCATTAGATAAACACCATCTGCCCAGTAGGGACAAACGGGGTAGGGAGGGGCACACTGGACCAGCTTCTTTGGTGGTACCTGGGGGAATTCCTGGGTTTCTTGTCCCTGCCTGCATCCCAGCAACTTCCCAGCGTCCTTGGTTCACCCGGTGCCCCACCCCAGTTGGCCTGCCTTCCCTTCCACACTTTACTGGGGTGCATCTGACACTTCTGGCCACTGGCCCGGCCCCGGGCAGAGCTTGGGGAGCCTTGGACAAGCCTGGGGTCAGGTTCAGAGTGTTTGGTGACTAATAGGAAATCTGGGCATCTTGGGGAAAACCCGGCCACTGCTGTTGAGCGGATTCCAACCCATAGTGACCCTATAGCTGCTCCACAAGGTTACCGAGACTGTCAGTCTTTACAGGAGCAGACAGACTCAGTTTTCTTCCTGTGAGAAACTGGTGGGTTTGAACAAGACTTTGTGGTCGGCTGCCCAATCAATGCTTAACCCACTACACCACCTATCTTGGGGATATGCTATGGAAAACTTTAGGGCTAAGCTCTGGTAGCGTAGTGGTTACGAATCGGGCTGCGGACCTTAAGGTCAGCGGTTCGAAACTACCAGCTGCTCCACGGAAGAAAGATGAGGCTTTCTACTCCCGTAAAGATTTACACCCTCGGAAACCCTGTTCAGGGTCACTATGGGTCGGAACCGACTCGATGGCACTTACCAACTCAGTCCCCCAACACCTATGCAGGGATTTCCTTTAGAGTTCTCCTGGTACCCTTGGCAGGGGGCCTGCCAGCTTCCCTAGTCCTGGTGATCACTCTGGTCACCACAGTCAGCTAACCCTGACCATGAAAACATGCTTTCTTGGGACTTCTATCCTCAGACCCATGGAACACAGGCCTCCCCTGGAAGAGAGGGCATGGGGGTGGGGAGAAGAGGCCTGGCTGGGCTGTCCACAGGCATCCTCTCTGGTCAGGACAGCCAGCGCCTCCCCCACATTCTGAACATTACCCATCAAATCACTTCTGGAACATGCTGGCTCCCCGACCCTTTCTCCTTCTGGAACCCTTGTCCTTGGGGATGGTAAGGAATAACACACTGTCCCAGGCTCAGCCTCAGTTTTTGCCTTTAACAAAGGCCCTCCATCCCCAGTGCTCAGCATCCCAGCCAGGGCCTGGCAGAGGGAGTTCACATTCTGGGTGTTTGGGGAGAAAACAGCCCTCCCATTTTAGCTGTCCTTGCTGGTATACAGCTCCAGGAGGGGCAGTTCTTGGGGTATACTCTATCCCCCACTTTGCCATCTCTCCCAAAATCTCTCTTTGGTCACCTATGGTATGGGGAGGTGGTGGGGTGGATTGTGTTCCACAGGAAGCTAAAGTGGGAGGGGGAATGAGTGGGAAATGGGGAGTCCCTGGGGGAGCCTGGGAGGAGAGGTGCCTGAATCGGATGGGCCAGCTGGCCACGACCTAACATGCCCTTTCTGAGGCAGTCCCGTGATTCTTGTGGGACTAGAGGGGCGGGGCGGGGGGTGGGGGGAACGGGAATTTGAACTTTCCACATCGGTCGGGCGCCCTGGACGATCGGGTTGCAACATGACCTGGGCCCGGGGCCAGAACTTGTGGGCCAAGGTTACATCGCCTCCAGCCAATGGGGTCTCAGCTTTGCGGCTAGGAGGGGGAGGAGGGCAAGGGAGGTGGGTAACACGCCCCAGCAATTGCCCCTAGCTTTTTCTCCCCTTCAGGGCGGCAGGTGCAGGTCTGCAGCCATCGGTTCTTAGAAGAGCAACAACTGTTATATTTGCACAGATAATAGATCAAGGCCGGCCAATCCCCCTTTCTCCCCTACAATCCCCAGTTGATTATTTATTCTGGTCTCTGCGCTCCGGGGAACTTTGCTCCAGTGCACTGGGTCAGGGCCCAGGTTCGCACCGTTCCCTGGGACGCGGATATGGAGCGGCGGTCCCAGGCAGCGTTGGGCGCTCGGCTTCTCGCTGCGACCCGGAGCCGGTAGCCCAGGCCTCGCGGGCACAGACCCGTGCGGCCTGCAACGCTGGGCCAGCCCAAAGCAGGGCACCATGGCGTGCTGCGTCCCTCTGGGCCTGCCGCGGCACCCTTTTCCTATGACTTGTCGATCTAGAAACCGTGTGCGAGCAATTGAGGGTGCACTAGGGACCGGGTCCGTTCCAGTCGACTTGGCTAGAATTGGGACAGCTAGCGGGGAGGGAGCCAAGGATTGGAGGTGGTCAGGTGGTAAGGTTCTGGAGTGTAGGGTGTGGCTGGGCGAGGGTGTTCAGAGCGCCAGAGGCGGCCTGGCACTATTTTAGGGGAGAGTGACCAGACGCCAGGTGGTGGTGGGGGTGGGAGGTAGGCCCGCGCCCAGGGAGAGGGTGCTGGTGGTGAGAACCAGGGGTGAGGGGTGGGGGGAAGGGCGATGCTGAGACGGCTCCGAGGACGCTCGCAGTTGGAGAAAGAGGAATGACCAGGGCTTGGCCGGAGTGTTCCGGACCCCTGCGCGCGGACCCGCCACCGAGGGCCGAGGTCGTCGGGCCCCAAGACGCCCTCACCTGTAGGCCAGGCTCATGCACTCAAAGAGGTGGGTGAGTGTGGGGTCGATGCTGCGTGGTCCGAAGTCAGCGAGCCCCACGGGTCCTTCCAGGTCGCGCCGCCGGGTCAGCGAGTCTCTGTGTGGGGACGACACCATGAAGTGACCGCTGTGGATGACCTGCGAGCGTAACCGGCCACCAGCGCTGCGCCGGAGGCTCGGCTCCTCCGAGTCAGTGTCAGAGTCCGTGTCCGGGCTCCGGACGACGACCCGGGGGCCGTGCAAGTTCGCCGCCAGACCTGCCAGCGCCGCGGTCGAAGCCATAGCTGTAGCCGCCACGCTCAGGTGTAGCTCAGCGGCCGGATAGGCTACCGTGGCCCGCCCGAACTAATTAGCATAACCCCGCCCTGTAATCTCGATAGGTCAGCCGAGTGGGCGGGGCTAACGAGAGTGTAATTAACTTGCCTAGCGTGAGCGAGCCAACCGGCGAGTTGCCACGGGCTCCCGGCAGGTGACTGCTTTGAAATGAGTTTGCAAGAGTTCGGAGCCCCCTCGATCCCCTCCCGCCTTCCCTCTGCCGTATTCACTCAGAGTCCTAATGAAACCGCCGCTCCCTTGCTCCCCAAAGAAGAACAACCGTCAGTCATTCACATCGCAGTGAAAGCTCTCTTCAGGTAACCACGACTCCACTGCCTTCCCTGACCTTTAGACGCTCGTTAACCCTCGTCGCAGTCCACACAGCTAGCAGTACCCACGCCCTGCATCTTATATGGAACATCAGACAATAGCAGTAAGGGTCTCAGGACCCAGAGTTACCATCATCATCATCATCACTACAGCTAAAGAAGACCACCAGGATTACCTGGGAATCCTGAGAGGCCGCAGAGGATCATTACCAGTGACAGGTGACTGGCCCAGCAAAATCGTGCCTTGGTGGTGGTGGTGGTGGTTATGTGCTGTGGAGTAGGTGCCGACTCATAGGGACCCTGCACAGGGTTTCTGAGGCTGTAAATCTTTACGGAAGCAGAAAGCCTCATCTTTCATCCGCGGAACCGCTGGTAGTTTCGAACTGCTGATCTTGAGGTTCGCAGCCCGATTTATAACCACTATGGTACCAGAGCTCCTAAAATCGTGCCTTAGCCACTTTATTCCCCCTGGGCATCTGCTCAGGAACCCTCCTCCCACTGCCCCGAGGTCCACTTCTTTTTCCTGCTTCTGAATGCCCCTTTCTTACCAAGACGACAGAGCAGGCTGTCTGGTCCGCTGCCTTCACATCGGTGACCAACCCTCAGTCAAGTGAGGTGATCATCCCACTTCAGGGGAGCACCTGAAGGCTATGGTAGCAGAGACACACCGGAATATCTGCAAAGAGATAGTAACAAAGCCAGGACTAGCAGGGGATTCCCAGACTTCCACCCAGGGCTGTCCCTTACTGTGAGGGAGCAAGAGGAGGCACGAGAGTTGGTGACAAGTCCTAGTCTCCCTTGGCTTTTCCTATGTGTGGCCATAGGTAGTAACCACATGAGTGAGGAAGCAGTTGATTCTGAGTTAAACATTGCTTTTGAATCAATCCTGCCTCATAGCAACCCTTCAGGACACAGCAGAACTACTCCTTTGGGTTTCTGACCCTAAATCTTTATGGGAGCAGACAACCCCCATCATCCCCCCCCCCATTGAGAAGCATCAGGTGGGTTTGAACCATTGACCTTGCTGAAGCAGCTCGAGGAATCCTGCGCTAGAGGCTTGGGAAAAGCCCGCGACAGGGACACAATCTCACAACGCAAAAATCATAACGGCAGTGGCCAAGGGGCCCCAGGAGCTGGCTGAGGAGTTATTACCTGAGGCTGCTCACAGGCTGCCCTTTCCACCCACTTCCCCTGGCCTCTCTTCCTGCCAAATTGTTGTTGAGTGCCGTTCAGTTGGTTCCAACCCATAACAACCCTGTATAGGGTTTCCAAGGACTGACCTTGCGGTCTAGTGCATTAACCCACAGCACCACCCCAGGACTCCTTTAGAGACCATTTGCTAATAGGGCATGACTCAAAATAAGAAGAAACAGCTACAAACATCAGGACCAGACAACGTTTCATTCTGTTGTACCTAGGGCAGCTGTGAGTCAGAACTGACTCGATGACATCTGTGGTAACTTGTATTTACTTGATACAGCTTTTCTATCCAGAGTCTTCTTAATTCCTACCAAGTGACTGGGTGGCACCATGCAAATAAGACACACAGGACTCTTAGGATGGGGTTGGTTAGTTTTGCCCCCCAGGTAGGTTGAAAAGGAGTCATCTCAGAAGCAGGAACGGATGGATGATCCCAGGACCATCAGGAAGGAAGAGCATGCATAAGTGGAGCGTGAGATCCCCACCTAGACAAGCGGTGACCGCAGAGGTGGTGACATGGAGAGACAGAGCAGCTTCAGACTCTAGGCCCATGGACAGAGAAAAGCTGAGTGCCTACGGGCAGGAGACTGACTGGCAGAATGTGCCCTTTGGGCGTTCACAGCCTGGCTAAAAGAGCTTTGTAACTCTTGCCCAGGCAGGGCAGAGGCCAAGGGACCACATGGCTGAGAGGCTGAAGGCAGGATTGAGGCATGCCTGCAGTATGGCAGACAAGAGACATTCCTGACTGGAGAACTGCTGCGTCCTAAATTGGTTTTGACCCTGAATTGTACCCTGTTCACTTCCCTAATAAACCCCTTAATCGTGAGTAATGTTATGAGTTCTGTGTGGCCATTGTCATTGATTATCGGACCCAGATGTGAAGGAGAGAGTGCTGTGGGAGGGATGGTTGGTGTCTGAAGAGGATAAAGAAGGTTGTAGGGTGGAGGCATGTCTGATCTCTGCTTCATAGGAATGGATCACGGGCTGATTCTGAGTTTGATTCTCTTTCCTTCTGGTAAAGCCAGGGGAAGTCAGACAAGGCTTCCACATGGTTTTTGCAGCACCCAACAATAACAACAATCAGTATGAGCTTGTGCTAAACACGTGTCACCATCGCTAATCCTATCAAAGTAGGCAACATCCCCTCCATTGATAGTTGAAGAAACAGGTTCTGAGAGGTTAAGCACTTGCCCAAGGTCTCCCAGCCAAGAAAGGGCAGAGTCAGGCTGAATCCCAAATACAGTCTTCTGTATTTCTTTGGGTTGCTGTCCTCTCCTCACTGTGGGGCTGGAGCACCTACCTGGTTGTGGAGCTGCTGGGGTGCTCAGATAACAGGGCAGGTTTGAAGGGAGTTGGCCTGGTGCATCTCTCATTTGGTCTCTATTACCCACTGTCCTGTGTCTATAACCCCTGAAGGTACAGGACCTGCACTCTTGGATCTCACCTGACCCCATTTGGCTCTGTGTTCCCACAGCCGCCCTTGTGCCAACTCAGCTAGTCATTTCATTTGGTGCTTCTTGTACCACTAGAGGGCGCATTCCCTTGCTTCTCTCTATAGGCCATTTCTCCTCGGGCACAAATGGTTTATTTGTTGAAGGAGCTTATACTCTATCTCTCTTACTAAAGTGAGCCCCTCCATGTCTCTCTCTTTCTACATTTCTCCTAAGGAAGAGCTGAAGGGTTCAAACCACTGACCTTTCAGTTAGTAGCCTAATGCTTAATCCACAGTGCCACCAGGGCTTCTGTGTCCCCGTGCTTCTTCTTGTTAGGTGTTGTCGAGTCGGTTCTGATTCATAACAGAACAAACTGCCTGGTCAGGCACCATCCTCACAATTGTTACGTTTGCTGCTGCCACCGTGTCCCAGTACCAGGTATTTAATTTTTATGTTTTCAAAGGTTAAAAAGTATAGGAAAGCAGGTATTAAATAAACACTTTTAATCTCCACTAAACAGAGAAAGGAGTCCTGGTGTGGTGCTGTGGGTTAATGCGCCAGACTGCAAAGCTGTTTGCACTGCAAGGTTGGCAGTTCAAGCTCCCAGCTGCTCCTAGGAAACCCTATACAGGGTCGCTATGGGTCGGAACCAACTCGATGGCACTTAACAACAACAACAACAACAAAGAAAGAAAAGACTGAAGTTGTCAAGGACTTCATTTTACCTGGACCCATAATCAAAGCTCATGGAAGCAGCAGTCTATAAATCAAATGATGGATTATGCTGCCCAAGTCTCTTTAGTGTCAAACACTGACTGGTCCTTTGCCATCTTCACAATTGTTATTATGTTTGAGCCCATTGTTGCAGAAACTCTGTCGGCCCTCCTTGTTGAGATCGACACAGTTTCTGCAACAACAGATGGTGTTTTGTTCTGTTGTGTGTAGGGTCACTGAGTCAGAACTGACTTGATGACACCTAACAGCAATAACACTATCCATACAAAGTGGATTGTTTAGGGCTGGAGGGAGTAGTTGTGTGTTTTTGAGTTGGTTCTGACTTATAGCAGCCCTGTATAGGGTTTCTGTGAGTGGCTGGTGGATTCGAACTCCCAACTTTTTGGTTACCAGTCCAGTGCTTATCCTGCAATGCCACAAAAGCAGGGGGGGTGGGAGCAGGGGCAGAGTAGAGAGCAGGAGAATGAGAGAATTCTAATGGGTACCGGTTTCTTTGGGGAATGATGAAAACGTTCTGGAATTAGATGTTGTTGTTGTTATGTGCTGTGGAGTTGGTTCCGACTCATAGCTACCCTGTAAAAGGGTTTCCAAGGCTGTAAATCTTTATGGGAGCAGAAAACCTCATCTTTCTCTTGTGGAACAGCTGGTAGTTTCAAACTGCTGACCGTGAGATTAGCAGCCCAATTTGTAACTACTACGCTACCAGAGTTCCTTAGCTAGAGGTGAACTATTTCGTGAGTATACCGAAAACAACTGAATGTACACTCTAAAAGGGCGACATTTATAAGATGTGCATTATATCTTAATAAAACAAGTAGGCATTTTCATGCATTATTCCATTGATTAGTAATCCTCTCTTCTGTGTAGGCATGCGCTAGTATTTTCATTGCTATTTTACAAAAGAAGAAACTGAGGCTCTGAGGTTGTCATGAGAATTAGTTGTAAATACTATCTAATAAAATAGGGTCATTTCCAACTCATATCAACCCTATAGGACAGAGTAAGGGCTGCTTCTTACGGTTTCTCAGACTGTAACCTTTATGGGAACAGACAGATGTCTCTCTGGGGGGGACTGCTGAGCTTGAAGCACCAATCTTGCAGTTAGCAGTTCAACACTTAACCCACAGTGCCACCAAGGGCTCTGACTAGCTAATTGATGTTGTTAAGCGTCTTCGAGTCAGTTCTGACTCATAACAACCCTGTACAAGGTTTCGGAGGCTTTAAAATCTTTGTGGAAGATACTGAGAACAAGTGTAAATTGCTATAATTT